AAATACAAAAAAAAAAAAAAAGAGCAATATGTCACCGCAGATTACGAGCCAATATTGATCAGTGAGCGATACTTGTTATCACACAATTGCATGCTGGTTGGCAAAAGCGTACGACGTCACAGTGCAACGACCTATACTGTCCAAAAATTATAAGCAAGCTGACTGTTTTATTTTCATTTAATTGCGTAACAAATTTGGTTGAGAAAAAAATATAAAATCTCACCTGTAGACTTTGTAGGACATTCAATGCATCATTCATACCAGTGAGCTGATTGACACCTCGAAATGTAGCGACAAATATTGTAGGTACGATTGCTATAGAGCGGGTCAATAAAACTCTTTTCCACCTTGACCATTGTAAATCAAGAAATCCCTACGATTATAGATACGAATAAATTATCACGATTACCATCTTTACCAGTGTTGAATGTAATCTTGAGTGATCACAAGTAGATGCACCATAATGAGACTTTTAACTTACCTCCATAACAAATTGCCCTGCATACGTTCCAGTCATGGTTGAACTTTGACCTGCTGCTAAAATACCGATAGCCCATATATACAAAGCGGCTTTTCCATATGCACAGCCTAAAAATACACCCTGTAAAAACATAGTTTTGTGTTGTAAGTGAGACACAATTTAAATAATTAATGTTTTTTTGCCTACTTTTGATAATTTGAGTTCATCATGTGATCTTGATGAAATCTTCATATCTCAAGTTGCATACCTTTACTTATTGTGATTTCAATGTGGTCTTCATTGTAAGCTCAAACTACTGAAGAACAGAATACGCTTATCGCTGTAGGTGTGAACTGGGGATTACGCCGGTAGGATGCATGCTACGACTGAACTTGCTACATGTAGTAGTTTACTGGGACACATTTACCTAAAGAACTAACATTTATCTGCTTTGTGTGTTTTCGTAATGTCATTCTAGTGCCAAACACGCAGGTGCATACTTTCAGAATTAACTGGAAATGAAATTGGTGAGTTTTGACTTTTTGATTGTTGTACGTTATAGTTGCGTTAGTTCAGTATATCGTTTATTGGGTTAAAAAGTTAAGCCCCAAAACAAACGTAGCACACATCTGACAAAAGGAAAAGCCATGTTGCTAGTGGTCTGAATTTTAAGTCAGACTGTTGGATACCCTTATTTTTATCTACCCTTGATATCATTTATCTTGTCTCATGAAATGTGTGAGGTTATTGCATGATTTCAATGAGATCTTCTCATCTCCATCTATAAATACATTACGATACTTACCCCTTTATGTAAATCCATTTCGACTACTGATGAATTTTTATAAAACACATATGAATAAGGACTGTCGCGTTCCTCACATTGTTGATACTATTAACAGAAAAAAAAAAAATTTCACGTCAGAGCCGTCTCAAAATGGCCACTTGGTGTCCATGGTTACGGTTATATGCCATAGTAACTTGATTGTGGCATATGATATGAGATCAAAGTACCGATAACATCGCAATTGACTACTTATAAAACTATGTGTGTTCGCAATGACAATTTCATTTGTTGATGACAGCCGACATAGTTTTATATGCCATAATCATATCACATAACCATGATACAAAAACATTTCAATCAAGAATCAATATTATAAATATATTATTTATCATAAACTATTTTGCACTTCTGTGTGATCTAACATTGATCAGTCCGACCGTACATTTTGTAACTTCGTCTTATATTTATTTATACTCACGATTTCATAATTTGTTTTTCCATATAAACCTTCAGCAAATACAGACACTACGAATATATTAATAATACAGGACACCAATAAAGCCAACGTAGCTTCAATAAAAAAATACATGTTGGCTTCTTTGATTTCCTTCTTTTTATTTCGATCTATTTCTCGTGACTGAAAACAAACAGATTACTATTACAAAAAAAATTTAACTGAAAGTTAAAACAAATGAAACTGTGCAACTTTTTTGTTTATTGTTCATAAAACAATCTGTAAGCACCTATTCAATGATTTGTTTGTTTTGAGAGATGCAGGCAGTTTTTGCTCAAGCCAGATGTTGGTGGCGCTGTTGCAAGATGCTGAAACTCCTAAGATTTGGCGTTTTATGCAATGGTTTTGCAAATGGCAAAATACTAACTTCTGCATTATGTAGAATTAGAGAGAGAAAACCTTTATTTCCATTTTACAAATTCTAACCAGAAAATACTAATAATAACTTTTACAGTGTAATAATGACTACTGATATTATTTTTCCTCACCTTCACCAGCGCTGAATGTAAATATATATTATGTGGCATGATAACAGCACCCAGTATACCGACAGCTTGCTCAGTAGCTTTAGTTGTACATGGACCACAACCCGGTATAAACAACCCTTTAAGTACCTCTGCTTGGTCTGGCGATGCCACTACGTACTAGAAAAGAAAAGAATGAAAATAATGATGATTTTCACACTGATTTTAAAAAAAGAAAAAGTTGAAACAAAATTGCTTAATTTTGTTGCCAGAGAGGGCTATACATAATTAGCACAAAGACTTGTGCACTAAAAACAATGCTATAAAACAATACAGTATTATATGTTTTAAAGTGAAGCGGGCGGCACATGTGGGAATTGCGTCCCAAGCGACGATAAAACATGCTAAAAATGCAAAGGCTCATGGGTAGAGGCTTGTTTGTAAACAATGACATGCTATGGCCATCTGACGCATGCGCAGGTGACAACTCTCCTGCTTTAAGTTAACGTGCACAGTCTTCACACTACCAGTACATCATGATTTATATTGGACCATGGGACATTTACATGTGTGCCAAATGTTTATGAGAAATTTAATGACTGACACGCCTTCATTTATAATGGGGGGGGGGACTTAACAGATTACTGGTATTTAATAGCTTTTTGCTGAACTTTGACCCTTGAAGGGGCACAGTCGACAACTCAATGTTTAAGATACATGCTTAATTTTTACACTTTGTTCTCATGTTGTTTTTAAGCAGCATGAGAGCAGTTTTCATCAAGTTGAAACCAGATATTATATGTATAAAAACAGCGCCACCTTGGGTTAAAATTAAGTGAAGCTGTAGTTCCTCAAAATGTATGCACACTGAAGCCTATATTCTCTGTAAGGCTGGATATAGGGAAAAACTAATCGGATATTATTTGTAACCTTGTGTGATTTAAGGATTATGTGACAGTCAAGTTATATTTCATTGAACTTTTATATGATGTGCACTCCTTTTAATATGATGTGAACTACAATATGATGTGCACTCCCTTTAATATGATGTGCACTCCCTTTAATATGATGTGCACTCCTTTTAGTATGATGTGAACTACAATATGATGTGCACTCCCTTTAATATGATGTGAACTACAATATGATGTGCACTCCCTTTAATATGATGTGCACTCCCTTTAATATGATGTGAACTACAATATGATGTGCACTCCCTTTAATATGATGTGAACTACAATATGATGTGCACTCCCTTTAATATGATGTGAACTACAATATGATGTGCACTCCCTTTAATATGATGTGAACTACAATATGATGTGCACCCCCTTTAATATGATGTGAACTACAATATGATGTGCACTCCCTTTAATATGATGTGCACTCCCTTTAATATGATGTGCACTACAATATGATGTGCACTCCTTTTAATATGATGTGAACTACAATATGATGTGCACTCACTGAAATGTTCATAGTTGTTTAGTACTATGAAAATCTAAAATTAAATGAAGTCAGGATTGTACTCAGTTGCAGCTTCTAATTAAAAAGAATTTAAGAGAGGCAGTTTATCAGTTTGTTTTCTTTCACATCAGCTGTGAACATTTCAGCAACCTAGCACAAGATACACATGAAATCAGTTTCTATAATAATTTTCACTAAGCTTAATAATCACATTCTTACCTCATAGCCAAATGTTACAGCCATGACAAGTATCAAAGATGCAAAAAAGGCTTCAAGTTTTCTAAGACCTGCAAATATTAGTACAGTATATGTTCTATTAGAAGGAAATATATATAAAAAAATTCATTTGTTGGTATTCTGAATCCTTAAAAATAATAATTAATATTATGACCACAAAAAAATAAAAATTACCATATTTGTCAAGAAATAAAAATAAAAATGTATCTGTTATTGTGATTAAAACTCCAGCATATAGCGGTATTCTGTGAAGAAAAAATAAGAAAAATCTTTAAAACAGAAAAACAAAATCAAAGAAAGCTTAGAAAGAACTCCCGTGTGCTGAGAGTATTGGAGACACATTAAAAATTAATTCAAAATTACTTGAACTTGAGATATTGATGGAAATGCAGAAAACTAATTATGCAAATAAGGTAACTAATATGAACACATTTAAGTGTAAAACTAATAAGGTCTGCGCAATGTAAAAGTAATAAGATCTGCGTAATGTAATATCTATGTACCAAGTTTCATTGAAATGTGATTAGAACCAAAAAATTATTAATTATTGTGCTAATTAAGAGAATTAATATGAACAGATTTTAACCCAAAATTAATCAGGCTGTCTATTGTCCTAGAGCATTTATGTACCAAGTTTTATTAAAATGTGATGATCAATACTTGAGATATCAGTATTAATTAATTAATTAATTAATTATGTTAATTAGGTGATTAAGAAGCATAAATATTTACCAAAACTAATATTTACCAAAACTGGTGTATAGTCCTACACATGTAGGTTCATTGAAATGTGATGAGCACTCTTTAAAAGTTTCATTAAAATTCAATGAGTGGTTCTTAGGACAAATTAACTAATTAAGCAAATTAGTAGTTAATATGCACAATAATTTATCCTAAAATTAATCAAGTCTCTGCATAGTCCTAGAAGATCCATGTCGCAAGTCTCATTGAAATGTGATGATTAGTACTTGAGATATCAGGTGAAGGGCTGAAAATTAACTAATTATGCTAATAAGGTGATTAATATGCACAAATATTTCTCCAAAAACTAATTAGGTCTCTGCACAGTCCTCAAGTAACTATGTACCAT